ATGGCATCAATTGAGAGGGTTTTAGACTCTCGAACTTTCAAATAACCCACTTTACTGTAGCCACTAGGCCAGGCAGAGTTGACCATACTTCAAGAGGCAGAAAAGGTGCAGGCAGGTTGAACAACGAGAAAGGAAAAGGGTTTCACCCATGCTGAGAAAAGGTTCTAACCATTTCTAACCCATGTATGATGATCAAAGAGAGGGTCCCTGGCTTCGGATTGTTTGAAATCATCCAGTTGGCATCCTCTGCGATGGTCCGGAGGAGGGTTTCTGGATCGCTTGGGGACCGGGAAGGCTCGCAGGCTCGCCGTCGGCCGGTGCCAGTCCATGGTTTCCTTGGGGGCATGGGTCCTGGGGTGGTGCAAGAAGAGCTTCTTCTGGTGCGCAGCCAGGGCCGCGCAGGTTAGCCTTCTTTTGGGAGCCATCAAATACGCCAGGTAGCCTCTCCAGCCGCTTTTCCATCACCAGCCTCCTCTTCGTCTTCATCCGGTTCATGCGAGTCGGACGTTTCCTTGGCTGCACATTGGACAAAGACATGTCAGCGCCAGGAAACTGCATAAAAAAGCGACATAATTCTCTTGCCGATGTGGCGGATCCTGGTTCACCTGTGGAGGTATGTTCAGTATCCTTTTGGTTTGCACAAATTTATATATGAGTCCTTTCCCAAAGACCTGTCCCAAGGCACACAGCGCCAAGCGAACGAGAGAAGACATCACACTAACAGTATACAGTATACTGTACATGTTTCTTCGGGTAGCCTGAAGCCTTTTGCTGTTTTGAACCTAGTAATTTTGAGCGTCAGTTGGAGAATTGATGTCCTTTTCCTGGCCAACTCAGTGGCAAGTCGCAACTGAGGATGACACACTGACCTGCCCAACACGGGGCCCATTGCACTATTTGTCGCTCCGGTGCTGTGACTGGGAAAAAGAACCTTGGCATCTTAGTTGTGAACTTCAGACCCTTTATGAGTTGCTCACCCAAAGAATGGAATAAGACTTCTACCGTGAAAGATCGTTTTTGTTTCTTTTAAGAACCGAGTTTGTTCAATTCATCACAGACAGCGTGTCCGTCGTCCGGTCAATGCCTCCGCCGGACGTCGACTCATTGATTGCACAGAGGAATGACGGCTCCGCGGCGCTTCAGCGCCGCGGGTCGCGGCGACCTGGAGATCAGGATCTCTCCGAGCGAAGCAAGTGAGATCGGGAACCAGGTGAGAAGACCTCCAGCGACGAAGAAGGAAGATACCTGGCTTACCCAGCTGGTTATCTGGACCACTCCGGGAGAACACTGAGGTTTGGAGCGACCAGATTGGTGGCAGCGAGACTGCTAGGGGACTCCATCCAAATGCAAGTGAGATGGCCCAATCTTTCGGTTCAAGGTAGAGAACAAGCCATCCGCTCTGCTCGCGCCAATGAGCGCTAACTGACCATAGATTGGTGCCCCTGGAAGCCCAGCCAGGCCTTTTGCTGAGGCGACTGAAAAAGAATCCATGGTTTCGCTGTGCAAAATGCTGTGTCTGACTCTCAAGGCCAGGAACCTCCAGGCCCGAGCTTGGAGTCCTAAACATGCGGATAAAGTCGAGTTCCGCAACTGCGCAGGATTCCGCAACTGTTTGGTCGGATTCCGCAACTGGGATTCCGCAACTGGGATTCTGAAACTAGGATTCCGCAACTAGGATTCCGCAACTAGAATTCCGCAACTAGGATTCCGCAACTAGGATTTGTCAAGATTCCGCAACTAGGATTCCGCAACTAGGATTCTGCAACTGGGATTCCGCAACTGGCGTTCCGCAACTAGGATTCCGCAACATTGTGGACTCCCTCACTAGGATTCCGCAACTTTGTGAATGATGAGGGATGTCGAGATCACACGATGGGGACAAGGGGGGGTTGGGGGGTCGGGGGGTTGGGTGGGGGGCTAATGACGTTGGTTTGGATGTGCTTCGAAGGTGATGTCACAGGCACACACGCTATCGCATGATGTGGAGATCACCAGTTGCAAGTTTCAGAAGGCAAGTTGCAGAGTCTGAATTTCCAGTTTCAGAATACCAGTTGCAGAATCTGACTTTCCAGTTTCAGAATCCTAGCTTCAGAACCCCAGTTTCAGAATCCTAGTTTCAGAACCCCAGTTTCAGAATACCAGTTTCAGAATCCAAGTTTCAGAACCCTAGTTTCAGAACCCCAGCTTCAGAACCCTAGTTTCAGAATCCGACCGATTAGTTTCCGAATCCGGCTCTAACCCTAAACATGCCTTGGAAACCCGATCAAAGCCCGATCCGAGATGGGACGAGTCAGCCGTGGTGAACTCGGGACGATCCGCGAACTGGGCTCCAGGGGGACAGCCTGTCAAGCGAACGGACAAGGCTGCAGATCTGGAGGTGAAGATGAAACCTCCACGGAGCAATGGAAACTGAATGGAATGTCAAGCGAGATGTTTCTTGGGAGTGAACCACCCAATCATAGACTAAAGCCACACCACCTGGGGAATGATGGGAAAAAACATGTAAAACAGACATCGCCGGCGCAGACACCGCGTCTGCGCCGCGTCACTGCTGAGCGGATGCGCCGCGGCACTGCTGGCATTGTCCTGGCGCTGCAGCTTTATTCGATCCAGGTGCAGCTGCAACGTTCTTTTTTCTCGGGAGACGAAGTGAGACCATGGTTACGGGTGCTTGTTTGACTCGGAAAATACATGGTTTTCCATGGTTTTCCTGGCTCCTGGAGTACCGTTTTTCACTGCTTGTTTTGGCGGGGCGCAGCTGGCGTGACTTCAAGCTGCTTAGCCTGTCTCAAGGGTGGTCTGTCAATTTCTAAAAGCCTAGAGTGCATTGGACCCCTGTTTTGATAGGAAACAAGAAAAGATCATATTTTTTGGTGGTTGGTGAGGTCACTCAGTTTCGAACACTGTATTATTGCTGCTCTCGTCGTAGAACCTGGAGGCGAATTCACGGCATGAACGACCTGCAGGGGACATGTCCATTTCGAGGTTCATTTGACTCCCTAATTTTGATGCATCACAAGGATACACACCATGAAGGAGAAGCACAGATCGATTGAAGACATCAACCCATGTTCAAGAAGACAATGTCTTCTTGTGTGAGGACATTATAACGCCATCGCCAGGGGAGTCCAGAGCTTTCTCGTTGTCGTTTCCGAGAGCTTTTTCCATTGACCTTCCAACCGCGAGGGGCTTCTGCCGTCCTCCGCCGCCAGGGCCTTCCGCGCATCTTCCGCCACCGGTGCCTGGGCAGGAAAACACCTTCCGCGAAAGTCCGGCGAAGCTTGGGGCAGCGTTGAGGAGTGAGGTTGGGAATTGGGACTCCTTTTGATGAAATCTCCTCCAATTTAGACCTACCCAGGAAAAGTGGATAACCTTTATGTAACTTTTTTTTGGGGGGATTGGTTTCTGCACCAAGTATGGACAGATGGACAGTTGGGTTCACCTGTAGACAGATTGAGGGGAATTGGAGTGTATACATACAGCACTGGATGATCAGGACCTTTGGAATGCGGAGGGTCGCAGTGATTCACCCCAAGTCTGCGAGCCGACAGTGCCTCTTCTTCAGGAATTCTGCACCCAAGTCTGCGTGGTGGATTTGGGCCCGCAAGATTTCCAGAAGGTTGTTTTGTGCTTGACTGGAGGAATGTGTTGAGATGCCGGAGAAAATATCATGATGACCTCAACAACTCCGTAGCAGGTCTCCAGCAGGTCTCCGGCATGGAGCTTGAAGTTCGACTGCTGCAGTTATACAGCAGGGTGCTGGTAGATGACCCAACAAACACTAGTGAACACGAGTGCCTTTCACCAAGGTCCGAGCTGCGTGCCGCGGTCTTGCAGTGGGAGTCGCCCGAAGGCCGTGAGCAGCTGCTGGCCGATGCGGGACATATCTCGACCTGGGAGGTGTCGGCTGTCACGAACATGAGCGGCTTGTTCCAGGAGTCCTGGCCTCCGAAAAAGAGCATGAACTGCCATGGGCCATTGGGCCGGAAACCCCGCTGACCAGAATGGCAGCATGTTTGTTGCAAGATGGCGAGATCCTGACTAGATGCACCTGCAGGAACATGTTGAGCTACGGAATCGTCGTTTGCTTTCTTCTCATGTTCACCCGAAAAGTTAAGAGTCAGCAGTTTGCAGGGCAGAGACTTTGAAATTTGTACACTGATTGAAATCATCATGACACTGGATGGCATGGCCGATGGCACCTCCATGGAAACTCTTAGACAGTGTATCGATTCTTCCCATCGATTTGTCCTTCCTTTTGGCCAACTCAGCACGTGAGGAGCTGGTTCGATTCAATGATGCTCGGTGTACAGTCCGGTTCGTGCTCCAATTGCCTCCGCTTCGGTTGAGTGGTTCAGGAGGGTGTGGGGGTCTAACTACCTTCTGAGGATGTGGTTGGAGCCCTAGGGAAGCCTACCTGGGCGAGAGCCTGGCCTGGACGTTGAGGGCTTGTAGAGACGCTGTTGCAAGGGATTCAAATGAGGAAGTCAGTCATTTTTGCTTGAATCCTTTTTTAGGATGGAAGGGTGATTTGTAGATGGCTTGGGGCATTGAGGTTGCCGTAGCCCAGCTAGCCAAAAGTGCCGGGGAGGAAAGAGAGCTCACTTCTCTCCCTCAAGTGACGCACTGGAAGATGTTTGGCAAATCTGGACAGTGAAACGCTCATTTGTCGGGGAAGATTAGGAGGGGACGTGCGTTTTCAAAAAGCACAGCGCGTGAAAACCACAGCGGACTCCATGTTTTGAACGCGCTTAAACGTGGACTTCTGCGTTTGCCCCGGGATTTTCGATCTCAGAAGGATATCAGATTAGTCAGATACAGTCTCATTCACTGCTCCACTGAAGCCCCGTGGTCAATCGGACCACCCGCCCGCCATTTTGGGAGGGAAGAATGAGTTGAAACCACCGAAGACCGAAGACGTCTCATTCTATTAAACGCCATCGCCATCTTTTTCCGCCCTGCGGAGAAAGCTCATATGGGCCATTTCAGGAAGACTTGAGCGCCTGGAACACGAGCTCAGTGGTCGACTTGAGCATGGCCTTCGCAAGGGCTTCGAGCTTCAACTCATCGATCGCTGGCTGGGACACTTCAAAGGTGGTGGATATGAGCTGGATGTTTGCAGGTTTGGATTGGGATGAGACAAAACACATGTTCAATCAACTTTTTGTTGATCCACTGATCCACATTTCACTTTTTAACAGGATTCACATGTGGCCATATGTCATGTTTGAATAAGGCCAAATCCCTCCGCACCTCCAGATCTGGAAAGACTCTTAGAGTCTTAGAGCACCCAAACCAGCATATATTTGCGGTTGAGTAGTTTGCAACTGCTTTGTTATCACTCCAGGTGCGTCAGCCTTCAACCAGCCCATTGGTGACTGGAACACATCTCGAGTCCAAAGCATGCAAGGGATGTTCTATGGCGCTTGGGCGTTTAATCAGAGTCTATCCAGCTGGAACACTTCCAGGGTTGCTGATCTAAGCTACATGTTTGCCGGTGCTGTATCCTTTGATGCTGCAGTTGGTCGTTGGAATACTTCAGCCGTGACTGACATGAGCTTCCTCTTCAGCTCTGCACAAGCTTTCAACCAGCAAATTGGAGCCTGGAATACTTCATCCGTCACCAACATGGCTGGTATGTTCTTGGACGCAAAGCTTTTCAGCCAACGGGTTGGTTTATGGAATACTTCCAAGGTGCTCAACATGAGCATGATGTTCAAGTATGCTTATACGTTCAATCAACCCATTGGTGGATGGAACACCTCCCACGTCATCGACATGAGAGCGATGTTCAGCTATGCACCCAACTTCAATCGGCCGATTGGCAGCTGGGATACCTCCAGAGTGCTGAGCATGAGGCCTGGACGGATGCTGACTGTCACGCGGAGTGCAACCATCCCTGATACCGAGGGAGTGCAAGCTCCAGATTTTTTTGGGGAGTGGCTCATTTGTGGCACTTTCTGATGGAGACTGAGCTAAGAAGGGCACCTGCCTTGTCCAGACGGGAAGACACCCATGCCAGTAAATAAAGATTCATTCTCTTTTCACGAAAGGTAGCTTGAGCTACCTGAGTTCTCCTTGCTTTAGCAACAATATATTACAATCAGGAGTTGGGATTGTGCATGGAATTTGGTCCTGTAAGAGTTGATTCTGTTCGTCGGGGGGGGCCCCCCCTCCCTGGATCAAATCCCCCCTGCGCCGGTTCACGCCGTCATGGACTTCTACCAGGGTTACTTGTGATTGCCTGCTACCTTTCTCAAGTCTTCACGTGCAAGTTGGATGTACCTTTATAAATAGGGATCAAGTTTTGGCTTGTCCTCTAGTTGAAAGATGTTGAAAGAGAACCCTCCAGTTGGTGTCTCCACTGGTTGATGCAGTTCTTCAAGTCCGGAGTCCACTGGGCAAACTTCGAGAAGGGCCTCTTTCGTACAAAAAGGTCTCAAAGTTCTACTTTGATTGGAACAGACACACTCTGTTTGAAAAACTTTTACTCGGAATTCCAATGAACCGCCATACTCCTGGCGGCTCGTGAAATGTGTGTTTTGTCAAGTTTGCATTTGGAGCGCGGAAGCTCTGTTGGGCAGGGAGATGTTCCGTGAAGCCGATGCCTTTTCACAGCCGTTGGGGAAGTGGAACACTACGGGTGTGATTGATATGAGCCTTCACTGCATGCTGAGATAAAGATGAGGTCTGACAAGTGTTTGTATATGTTCGTATTACCACAAAAGTATTGAAACAGCATGACCCACATGACCCTTGGGTTCGTTTGACTCAGCCAGCTTGCGAGCGCTTGAGGAGCCGGATGTTCCAAAGTGCCAACAACTTCAACCAGCCTTTGGCGGGATGGGATACCTCCTCCGTCGCCAACATGGCGTTGATGTTCACAGATGCCGAATCCTTCGATCAACCCATCGGTGGATGGAACACCTCCTTGGTCACGGACATGAGGTACATGTTCGCGGGCGCCCGACTCTTCAATCAGCCCATCGGAGAATGGGATACGTCGAAGGTGGAGGACATGCGTTTTATGTTTGCTGGAACGTATACCTTCAACCAGCCGCTGCACTGGAACACTTCGAAGGCCCGAAAGATGTTCTCGATGTTTACCTTCACCAGGCCGGTGGATTTGGACCGTGAAACACTGAGTTAATACCTGGTTTCCAGGATGCTTCAGATAAGTGCTACAAAGGATGCTTCAGGTATGTTAAATCAACCACATTGATTAAAGTTGACTGACTTAACTGAGTTAAGTTCACTTAGTTAATAACATTCTGCGCACATGTGCGGCTTGGTCAGGTCCTTCAACCAGCCCCTTGGACATTGGGACACTTCCTCTGTCCGGCGGATTGAAAACATCTTCGCCTTCGCCAAGCGCTTCAGCCAGCCAGTGGGTAGTGGCCTTACTTGAGTTTGATCAAGTTCTTGATTTTTGTGACATATGATTCATATGATATACACCCTGGAAGACGATCCCATGGACCCTGAAAACCACTGGTTGGTAGAGGAAAACCATCTTCCAGGGGGCCAGGACGGACCCGGGTCTATGTTAGTTGACTCGGGAGTGCCTATTTCTTCGAAACCACACATGGTGTCATCAAGACGATGTCTTGTCCACCCACGCGGGGAAACGGGGAGAGACACCCGATGTGTCCGACTCCCCGGCGCCACTGCGAGAGTGACGTGGTCTTCGCTCGGCCGCTAGCGGTGGCTTTGGGGGGAGAAGACATGCTTGGTGGTGGGGCCGACCGTGTTTCAGGGTGACCCATAGGTTTTGAATGGTTTTGAGGATATCTCTGGACGAAGACGTTTCCAGAGAGCGTTTTGGAATCATCTTTTGAAAGAACTGACCAAGTTTTCCCAACTCGGTGTTCTGGCGAGTCAAAAGGCCTCTTAAGAAATATACGCCCAAGAGACCCACATGGAACCTGAAAACTACTGGGTTGGTCTTCGGACTTCCTCGTCTTCCAGTCTGGTCCATGCGGGTGCCATCCGGGTGTTCTTGAACAGCTGAGGCTGGGATATGAGCCATGTGCACAATCCAGTGTCCCGTTGTGATGGCTTCGGCGCGTCGCGTGTCCGATTGTGTGGGATTCCAGATGTTGGACATATACTTGAGGAACAACCTCCCGCTGGTCGCAGTATGCATACAACATATTCTTGGAGATACTTGTAAAAGAGTCTAACACAACTCGGCAAAGTGGGCATACTTTTGGCATCATTCCATAGATCCTTAATCATTAGATATCATTCGATCAAGACCCCAAATCCCGCTGTCCCGCCATCCTGGGTGTCTTGGGACACTTCGGTGCCTCCGCCTCCGCCGCCTTCGTTTTGGTCGACAGACGAGTCCAAAAGATCTGGATGAGAACTTCTCACGTTTTAAGATAAACGACGCATGAAGACACCTGATCACTTGCATAATGCATGATGCCAGTCCCACCCGTGTCAAGTGCGAGTCTGCAGAGTCCCCTCAATTGGTTTCTGAATTCCGTGGGGTGATCACTTTGCTCCGTGGCTCATGGCACCGGTGCCTTCGCCCGTCCACGCACCCTTCATCCATGAAGGAAGCTTACTTCGCTCTTTCGTTGTGAGGCGGCACGGGGGGTCCACCCATGCTTCTCCACCGAGGTCCACGCTTCCGTGCTCCACCGGACTCGCCGAACTCGGCCCCATAAGGCATCGGTCTTTTAGAATGCCAACATGTCGGACTGTGTGAAGTCGGCCACGCGCAGCGCGTGGGGCCTCGAGGCGCGCGGGAACCAGTCTGGAGCGAGAAAGCGCTGGCATGCGAGGTGTCCGGCCTGCGGCAACAGCAGCTGCCGCTCGGCGTGGGCGGGGTTGGAGAGGCAGCGGCTTTTTGAGGGTTTTGAGTGGAAAGTCCACTGGTCATTTGACCGGAATCCGTAAAAGCATTCAAAACCGTTAACCCGTAAAGTTAAAGTTCTGTTGCAAGAATGAACACAACTCATGGGGGGTCTCCACCCTGTGTGTGGGTGCTGAGACTTGACAGAGCACAGAATGGATGGAGGTGGGCTCATGGGGATGGGCCAGAAATGGGCACCAAGGGCATCGCTACGAAGGGAGCAAGGACGCTACTAGGGGCTCTTGGCATCGTTCCTAGTAGCTAGAAGCTACTATAGCTAGTAACACTTTTTTTGGGCTCATCGCCAACCACCAAGGCGGCCGTTCAGACCTGGCGTGCGTCGATGGCTTCTGTGCTCCCCTCTCGGCGGGCTACGTGCATCTGGGCCCGGCCAGTTGGACCATTGAGGAGGGCCTCGAGGTGGGCGGGCGTGGGCTTGGCGCCTGCCAGGAGGCCTGTGATGAGCAACAAGAGGCTCGGCTGGTGTGGGTGTTTGGGTTGGGGTGGAGTGGTTGGGTGGGTATGTAGTGCCAGAGTGTGGGTGAGAAGCTGCGAAGAAGCACAGCGCTTGGGATAGGAAAGGAAGCACCACACACGTGATCACATCAAGAGCCCATAGACCCAAAGAGTACTCTTGATCACTGAGATTCGTGTCCTTTGTTTAAAATAACTGAGAAAGAGGAACTGACGTGGGCCTGTCACTAAGGAGTGCTTGGGCTTCTTGCTGGGGCGAGGCCGTTGCGTCCTCCACTTAGGACAGGGCGACCCCTTGCCACTCCGGTCACACATCAGTGACCAGGAGGCAGACAGCAGTCACCCAAGAACATCACCACCGTCGGAGGGGTTTGCTTTGGAGGAAAGACCTTTCTTGACCAAGAGTCTTTTTCTTGGCCGCTTTGGGGGCCAGATCCGTGCTGGCGGCTATATATTATATATATATAAGTGCACATAGTCTACAGTTTGGTTGGTGGTAACGAAGTCATTGTGACCATTACTGAAAGATCTAGCAGTCTTGTTTGGCAACATACTTTGATTGGGCAAGCCTCAGCAACAATGTATACAATGTGCAAAATATATTGTAAAGGTAGAGATGTTGATCAGGGTTTGAACGTCTGAGGTGCTTGGAGGGCCTTCTTGAAAGCCACCTGTGGGAGCTTCAGCTGCCCTTCCAACAGTGCGCTGAAGGCCACACCGAGTTTCCCGCAGCTGGTGACAGAAGCTTCATGCTGTTCCTGCCCTGACCCTGGCACAGTGCAGGACAATGGAGTTGTACATGTTCGTGCATATGCGCATGCACGCAGGGCACCTGCACATGCAGGGACATGCAGAACCGGGTTGCTTCGCCGCTCGTCAGGTTTCGAAGACGAAGCGCCAGCGCTGTGAGGAAAGGCATTTCCACCGGGAAACAGCAAAGAGAGAACAAATGAGAACACCGTTTGGAACATAGTCGTGTCTCCCCTGAGAAAAAGACTTTTGAGCACAACTACATTGCCCGTGTTTAACGGAATTTGTCCAAGTTCTGCTTTGATCTGACTGACCATGACAGGACCTGGAGAGTGATAAGCTCCATCTGAAGTGCTCCGCTTGTGCGACGGGCTCCATCCCGGATCCTGCCCAACAGAACTGTGTCTCCTGCCCTCCTGGTTCAGTGGCACGTGCGGGCATGGCCCACTGCCAGGCAACTGGGCCGCAAGGGCTAGAGGTACCGGAAGAATCTCCGACTCAGGACTATCCAACAGATGTCCGGGCTTGTTTAGCCCAGTCTTCAAACTCTCAATGGCCTGGATCGATCGAGACATGATGCTCCAGGTCTTATTCTTTCCTATGGCGGCCTATGGCCGTTTTCAATTATGTTTTGTTTTTGGATGGCCAGGTCGGAAGAGACTCGACTCTCCCCGCAACAGAAAGCCGGTCGGCTTGAGAACAAGCTCGCGGACGGGCTTTCTGTTCGTCCCGTCTTCCCCGTAACTGGTCGGTGGTTGGGACATGGAAGTCGTGCGTCGCTTTCCGCGGGCTCCCAGTCGTGCTTTGCTTCCGTGCCCGGTTCCTGTGAGACGTCCGCCCGAGGTCTGTGGACTGAGCTCCAAACCCTCCGACCGCCGAGGCGGGCGCCGAACGAAGCGGTGTTCAGCGGGAGCGAGGGTGAGGGTCGGCCCCCCCCGGCCCAAACTGGGGGCAGAGTTCTGAAGTGCGATGCTGAAAGAGTTCGGAACTTTTGAAAATGAAGGAGTCCGGTATCGGAGACCTTCTGAATAAAGGAATGTTTGAGACCTGAAACCAAAGAGGGGCGGCGAACGAGAAAGTTGTGAGGTGTAAAGGTGAAGGAACTTGGGATTTCCCAAAGAGACCCTTCTCACCATTTTTGCAGGCATTTTTTGAGATAGACTAGATGGTTCGATGGCGGGGTCGTGAGGTCTGAAGACATGAGGTGCCTATCGAATTTTTCTCGGTGGGGTCAACTATCGAGTTCTGGCATATTCTGAGGAGGGTGGATGGATCGAACAAGGTTTTGTTGTCCCCTTTCTGAAGAACTGATTTGGCCTTGCCCTCAGTTGACTTGCAGATTCAACCTTCCCATGAGGGTGATTGTTGGAGGTGACTGTATCCCTTGTGGCCACGGTCAGTACCGCCCGGAGCTTGCAGACGAGTGCCTAGACTGCAAGCTGCCCAAACTTCTGTGGGCTGAGAAGTGCGTTTGGTGGCACTTGCCCTTGATTCCCATTGGAGCCATCGCCCTGCTGCTGTCGCTGTGCTTAATCCTTTCGCACGTGAAGAAGCGCCACCAGAAGGAGCAAGCGCGCGTCTGCGCGGATCAGACGGCGGTGATGGAGAGTCTGGAGAGGGAGCTCTGGGATGAAGAGCCTGGCACTGCTGACACACTGACGAAATATACCACAGCCTTGAAGGCCTTTGGCATGAAAGAAGATGAGGCAGGTGATTTTGGGCGGCAAGGAGGTGATTTTGGGGAAATTCTGTGTTTGCTGAAGTTGTTCAACGGAGATTGCCTTGCAGGTGAAACACCACCGACGCATTGAAACTCACTTCCCATTGAAACTCTTCTCACGGGTGTTGTGACTTCCATCGCACTCCATCCAACGACATGGGCACAGCACTTCCGTTTTCTTTTTGCAGATATTTGATAGGGCCATCTCCAATATCGAATGCATGAACCAGCAGGTTCAAAGCAGATGGTTCATCCCATGGGCCTTTTCCAATATGACATGGAGAATCCGCTTAGACTTCTAGACGGTCCAATTCACCATTGGTTCCTGCTCATCCCAGCCTTCCCGCCATCACCTTTGGCCAGCACTTTCCAACACCCCAAAAGCTCCCGGCTTTGCCTTGCGACCGGACGTGGGCCGGCCGTGTTGGGGTCCAGGTGGTGGCCCAGCTCGAGCAGAGCCGCAAGGAGCAGAGCTTGCGAGCGGGGGTGAGCATGAGAGACTTGGACGAAGCGGAGGAGCGGAGGAGGACGTGGGAGATACCCCAAATTCTTTCCAGGTACGTTATATATACTTCTATAGGGGCAGGAAGGTCCATCTTAG